AAGCCGTGAAAGCACATGAGGGCGCGTAATTAAAATTGCGTGGCTGTGATGTACGCATATTTTAAACCTCTTTACAGCCATTTTATTTTTCCAGAAAATTTTGCTAAAATCCCTGACTTTTTCATAACTTCTCTAACCATTTTCAAATTCTCTGACTTTCCATGACTTCCGTGATTTCCCTGACTTGTGGCAACCCTGGTTTAGTATAAGAAAAATAATAATAATAATAATAATAATGAGAAAAAACATAAAAAATAATTAAAAAATAAAAATTTTCGTATCGTTTCTTTTAGGGGGAAAAAAAAAAAAAAAACAAGTTTGAAAAAGTGTAGAATTGCTCATACATAATTATATCTATTTTATTTACATATAATTATGTATGAGCGATTTTTTTACATTTTTCCAAACTTGATTTTTTCTAAAAGAAACAATATGAAAATTATCCTTTTAATTATTTTTTTTATGTTTTCTCATTATTATTACTTTTCTTATACTAAACAGTAATTTTATAAAAGAAAGAAGAATGTATGACCATGTATAGACACATTTCATTGTATAATTATATATGTTTACGTATATTTAGATATATTTATATATACATATTTATGCATGAAAAATTTTTTACCGAGTGATTAAAAGAAATAAAGCGTCATATACAATCAGATTCATGAAACAGTAAGTTCCTACGATATAAGTGTTCTACGATATATATAATATATAATTGAAAATTGTATACATATATATGGTCTTTACAATAAATATAATAATAATAACAAAGATGGAATTGTGTGCACGCGACAAAGTAAATTCGAAGTACAAATCTCACAAAAAATTCTATTGTTTCATCTCAATCCTACAAGAAATCTAATATCGTTATTTCACAAAAAATAAAATGAGAAATATAAATAAACACATATAATGTACATTTTGTGCTCGTTACATTATTCATTTCCAAATTCGAAAACCAATGATTAGCGTATTTGTCCTCGATGAGGATCACGCTATGAATGTGTAACTCTGATAAAACGCATCCAAATGTATGGAACGCATCTAAAGAAGCAATATTATCTCTCTGATCATTTCTTAATACGTTACTCGTCGTCGTATCGATGTATATATGAGTGAGCAAGCTATACAGTCACCAAGTTTTTTCTGCAATGAGTTGCAATTAAGGCTATCCGCTGTCTACGAGAACTTGCATATCGATAATGTTGACTTGCTGTCACCGCTTCCCTATGTAATAACTTAACCGCAGGAGAACAAAGCTCGATATTAAAAACCAACTGGCAGGAATGGATGCCAGTATGCAGTACCTTTCATCTGAAATATCAAGAAAAAATATACATTGCATGTAAGAACTATTTCTGACTGGGAAGTTTTGTGTACTGATTCCAAATCCGCCATGTTGAACTTTATAATTCTATCTCTAGGTTTGTAATCACTTATAGTAATCATTTTCAAGCCGATTCGTCGAGTTTTCGCATTTAAATCGACGATGTTGTAAGAACATTCGTGACTTTTGCGGATTTTAGACATCATATTTGAGCCGCCATATTGAATTTTTCAAAAGGCCACGTTTCATTCGAAAGTGCACAAATGTGCGAATATTTTGAGACCTTAAACGGTTTTTTCCGTTGCGTCAAATTTTGGAAGGAGAGGTGGCCCGCTTGACACGAAACGTCCCATATATACACGATACATTTAAAAAAAAGTAACGCAAAGAATTGTTTCTGTGTCAAAGAGATAGTGAAGAATATTTAAACCAGCAGCCTCAATCACATCAGACATCTCGAACTTTGATCGTTTGATGTTTTTACATTTACCTGTCATTTGGTCAGACATTTTTCCTGTTGCCCAACCTAGGCTCCTTTCCACCGCCATTTTCCATTTCTTATACCTGGCGTCCCTTTCTACAAAAAAAGGAAAGATACAGCAAAATCATAACCTCATATTATATATTTATAGAAAAATAAGTCATGAGTGTTAAATTACTCAATTCGAAAGTTTACCTTCCGGTGTGGTAGTTGGAAGAAAAGTGTCGGTTGGTACTGTTTCTACTTCCTCGCCTTCCAGATCCCAAACATCTATCCCTGCAGCATGTCCGGCAACCATCGCTGCACCTAAGGCCGTGATGTCAGGCATAGTTGACCTAACTATTAGCCGAAACAGTTAATTTCCAAAGAATAGAAATTTCCACGATAGGAATTAAAATAAAATATTATCACATTTGCTACATTTCTAGCTCATAAATGCTGCCAATATACTTACATACTGGTGTACCGCATAAGTCGGCCTGCAGTTGCATAAGCAGATTGTTAGTCGACATTTTTCCGTCTGTATTTAACTTCGTTAACGGAAATCCGCAATCTTTGTACATTGCCTCAAGGATGTCTCTGGTTTGAAAGCATGCTGCTTCGAGGGACGCTCTAATTATGTGTTGCTTCGTAGTAAATGCAGTAAGTCCACAAATTATTCTGAAAGAAAAAAGTAGATCTTTTTCAAATACATCTGCTAACTCTCATTTGACATTACAAACTTTCGATCAAACAAAATATTTCAAAAATATTATAACATCCATCATGTGTAATTTATTAAATAACTTTGCAAATAATTTCAGTTTCTACATTTTTTATATCTACAGAATAAAAACTCAACAAATAGTCCAAGCAATTTTTATAAAATTCTACCAACCCCCTTGCATCTTTTCTCCAATAAGGTGCATATAACCCTGTGAAGGCGGGTACAAAATAGACGTCTCCCGTACTAAATACACTTTGAGCTAAGTGTTCACTTTCATGAACATCTTTTATGAGTTTCATATTATCCCGTAGCCATTTAATAGCTGCACCTGCAACCGCAACTGAACCTTCCAATGCGTAAACAGGTGGACTCTTCGGACCTAATTGATATGCGACGGTCGTAACCAATCCATGAGAAGAGTATACTCTCTGAAAAAAATACGTAACAGATAATGCAGATGTTTTGGAAATCGTAATACAACTGGGAAGACAGTGATTCTTTATGTAGAAATAAGTCGAAAATACATATTCAGTAACATTTTTCACAGAAAGCTTCTGAAAAAATCGACTTTGAATATTTGTTAAGACGCGTGCACAATCTATAATACTTGATTCACCTAATCTGACTATTTTTACCGCTATTTCTATATCAATCTAGATTTGGTATCCCTGTTGCAAATTCTTACAAGAAAATTTTCACATACGAATTTCGGACAGGAACATACAAGATCGTATAAGAATATCTCGCATACGATATCTATAGATAAATCAAGAATCTTGCATGAATCTTATCCCCATGTTATATGCAACTTATAAGCATTTTACATGACTTTTACACACATGTTACATGAATCTTGCGCGCAGGTTACGTGAATCTTACGCGCATGTAACTTGAATCTTGCAAGAATATAACTGGAGTGTCATTATGAAAATATTACACGAATACTATTGGAATTTTGTGTGATTTATTGCTTGTATCCTAGTAAATAAAATAGACAAGCAAGAAGTTGAATGGGATTTAAAAGAATTCATTTTGGCTAAAAATTAATTCTTTTTACACAAATTGAATAACGGCTTTTCGACGAAATCAAACTTAATTTGGGAAAGGAGCATAAAAAGCCTATGCCAATTATAGCGAAATTATAATTTATCAATTCATTAAGACAGTGATAATATATTCAGTCATCTTCAGTATTCTAACAAATTTTTTAATTTTTCTTCATTCTTTTTCATTTCGTATATTCAATCCAGTTCCTGTTAGTTTAATAATTCCATTTCTCTCAATACTCTCTCATCGTCTCTTAATACTGATAAATAATCTTTCATGAAACACTTTAGAATCATATATAGGTAATTAATACCATATTCTTAGATGATCCTGTAAAAAAATTATTTTTTAAGAGTTTCTTATATAAGGTTAAGGCGATATCTTTTCATTGCGATATAAATCGTCGTGTACGATTCATTTCAGATTCCTAAGTCATTAAAGATTACTGGTGAGATTCATGTACAAATTATATAAGATCTCTTATATAATCATATACGTTCATTTAGTAATCTTGATTGATCACATACAACTCTTTTAAGATCTGGTATAAAAAACTTACAAGAATTTTCAACAGGGATAGTTTAAAGTAATACCTACAATAAGTTTCAATAATGTATTTATTTTATTACAATTAGTTGAAAAATTATTAAAAATGTCGCCCTTTATGTGACAGACAAATTCTTGCTCGACAAATTAAAGATACGTAAATCGATGGCAATGTGTTACAATTCTTCACTTCTTCGAACAAATATGTAATAGTATCTCTTAACTGAAGATAATATTCAAACTCGATTCTCTCGAAAATATAGCTCTGTATGAAAAAATTTTATTGTATATATTTTCAACTTACATTTACATGAGAAATTAAACCTCCTTTTCGATTGTACTATGATTTCTGTGAAATAAATGATTAATAAAAGATGTAATATATGAATATGTGAGATCAAGAAGAATAAATCTAATTAAAATTTTCTAAGCTTCTATACGTTTATGAAATACTTGAGAATTACGTACAGTATGCCCGGTGTTACACAGTAAAAAGCAGCCACTCCTATACGTATTTTTCGCTTGACCCTTCTTCAAACAATTTTGTCCGATCAAAGCAGATTGTTGATTTCCTAAAATCTAATAAAGAAAGAAAATGTAACAAAAAGTATATTCTACATCTGTTATTTTCTGTTATTTTCATTATTTTACGAGATCTTACGTACACCGGATATCGGAATGCCAGACAACGGACCAATCAAGATTTTGCCATATATCTCGGAACTGCTTCTGATCTCCGGCAGCATTTGCATAGGAATGTCGAAATATCTACATAACGTAGGGTCCCACGAGAGCGTTTCTATATTCATTAACATCGTTCTCGACGCGTTCGTAACATCAGTGATATATAGTCCACCGTCTTTGCCTCCCGTTAAGTTCTGCAATGATTTTTTAAATTAATTGTACATCAATTCACGTAGTTTCTCTCATATTGTGTGTGTGTGTGTGTGTGTGTGTGTGTGTGTGTGTGTGTGTAAAATATAGATTTTTAATTTTCTTAATTAGATACATATGAAAGAGTAAATTGAGGATTTAGAATTTGTGCGCTAATCTTCTCGAATATTACATCTATATCGACGTCTCCTATTTATAAAATGCTTATTCCAACAAGAGTGTTGTAACATGCCTATAGTAAGCGCGAGTTGACATCTTATTGCACGAAAGCGCGAGTTGGAATCTTATTGAACGAAAGCGTGAGTTAGCATCTTATTCTACAAAAACGTGAATTGGCATGTATAACACTCTTGTTGGAATAAGCATTTTATAAATAGGAGAGAGGCGTCGATATATAATACCTCAAATGTTAAATAAGTTATTTAGCATTTGAACAATCCTTGTAATATACAGCAGTGTGCGCTGCCTATTGTCTAATATCGTCTAATATCAACTACTATCTAATATTAGTGATAACTTCCTTCCTCAAGATACAGCAAGTATAAATATTAACGAGCGTTAATTAATACACTAATTGGATAAGCCTAGTCAAGTTATACTCGCTAATTCCTACTAATGCCTTGCTAATATCTCTTCGTCACATACCCAAACAACCCATGTATCCATGGTTCCCACTTTGCATCGCCTCTCACGAATTGCTTTCTTTATCGCCGGTACGTTGTCTTTCAACCAACGAATCTTCAAAGCCGAGAAGTATGGGCTCACAGGTAAACCGCATAAAGATTTCAAATGATTTTTACTTTGATCCGGAAACTTCGCTATAATCTGGTCTACAATCGCGTCGGTTCTGATATCGGACCACACTGAAATCAATTACGTTTCAGAAACTAATCGAATATTAATCAAACAACTTTAGATTCCATTTTTCTCCCTTCGTCTTTATTTTAAATTTAAAAATTAAATATTACTTTTGAAAGAAACCAATTAAACTATAAATGAGACTTTAGGTCTTTCATAAAGGTTCAATATAAACTAGGCTTTTCAGATTTTTCTTGGACGAAAATAATTTTTTCCCGCAAATAGATTAGACGCAAGCGAATCTCTACCCACCTATGGCATTATAAAGTGGGTCGCCGGTAATCGCATCCCACACTATTGTAGTTTCTCTCTGGTTGGTAATACCCACTGTAACGATTTCGTCAATCTTCATACCCAGTATGTCCAATTTGCGAATTACATCCTTAATGCAGGCCTTTACCGCAAAAAGAATCTCTTTGGGGTCCTGCTCCACACATCCCTCTTGCGGACTGATTTGCTCTATGTCGATTTGATGAGATGCAACCTCCGCGACGTGCTTTGCATTAAATACCTGCAGACACAATTCACAATAACTGTTAAAACAATGATTCGATAAAATTAAAGTGCACGAATATTCACAAAAGAAGAAAAACGATCTCTCAATAATATTCCACAAAATCTATACATCACTACGCGTGAAAATATAATTTAAAAAAATTTTCTTATTAATAATTTTTTTAACAATTACACATAGCTTTTAGAATTCGTGATTAGAATTTATTTTCATTTGCGTAATTATTTAAATAGCTCATTAGCGGATTAAACGTTTCAAAAACTACGGAGTCTTACGAATACGATTTCACGAAAATCTGTTTTAAGAACACCGTCACGTTATTATTTACTGCACGCAATCTACGTTTATTGCCTCCTATAAATCGTTAATTCGTTGTCGACCAGTTACATTTTAGCTACAATTATTTATATGCATCGTTAACAACAGCTTATATATTACTTTCGGCTTTACTTATCACATTGACATTTGAAATTATTATTTATTTATCACGCTAGAGTAATGAGAATTGCGGAATCCTTACGACAGTTTCGGTAAACATTTAGAAGCGTGGAAAATTATAACTTGACAACTACTTGAGTTTACTACTGTTTACAATAATCTTACCACAAAGCGAACAGTGCGCGTGCCAACATCAATTACACCAATAAGGGGTCCTGTTTTTTTCACCGTGTTCGTCATTGTATCTAAAAAAAAATACAAGAGCTTTGCTTTCGTAAAATTCTTTGTTTAATTTGTTGTCTCTCTTGTATATCCCGCCTGTTTGGGATATACGGCATTTTTAGCGGGCGGGATTTATGCCCAAAGCATACAAAGTGCGCAGATTGAATTCAGTGCACTAAATGCAGCAAACGCATTACATGAAATATATATCCCATGTCATAATACTTGTAATATATATAGGAAGATTGTAATTATATTATTTATTACTTCGTATACATATTTATCATTCTTATTCCTTAATAAAACTTAATAAACGCATTTTATAAGTTATTGTGTCATTTTACATCTTATTTATAAGCATTATTTGTAAATTTTTCATGAGCCGTACCTTCCCCCCCCCTCTTCCTATGAGTAGCCATATAATACCACCCCCTGGGGTGGGATATACGGCGAAAATGCAAGGGTTTCAAAAAGTTCATTTTTTAATACGAAAAATAAATAAATATATATATATATATATTTCGGATTTCTAATATTTTTTTCATAGTAGTAGACAGTACAAAGTTTTTACTGATATAGTTCGTTTACTTTAAACATAGCAAATAATACTTAATAAATTAAGTTTTTGATAGGTGCGGCGTATATAGTATACCGGAGTTACCCTATAGTTCATTGTTCTTTTTTTCAGTAGGGCTCTGTACAACTCGAAACGTTTTAATCGTTAAATACGAATTCCTACGCTTTTAAATAAATATTATCATTTGATACCTTAGATAGCTCGTTTTAATTTGGTTTTAGTTTGTTTTATTATTTGTTAGATAACATCACGTGCCAGATTTACTAACTTTAATTCCGTAACATTGTAGAAAATTACATTGTTATATACAATTTGCATTGCAATCTCAGTTTTGAAATTCGAGAAAAACGGATTTCATCGGCGATAACCCGCAATATAGTAGACTTGGAGGGCTCGTCGTCGATACAGCCACCGGAAAAATGTATTTTTTATTTCGATATATCGTAAGTAAACAAGCTGATGTATACGTACGCGCTTGCGATAACACGTAATCAATAAAAACACTTAACGCCGCCTCTTGTGATATTCCGCCAACTAAAAAATATATCTTTTCGCAGGAATTATAGATAGATCTCGTGATACTCGCACGCGATCATCGTTAATTTCCTCGGTACGTGGTTACATCTTGCAGGTAATATTCCCTGCGATAATATTTTTCCTGTTAAATCCTTTATTTGTGAATGAACGTCGCCGATTGTTGTTTCAAAATCGAAAATGACGATTTCGAGGTTACTCGAGTCGAAGAATGAGATTCTCAGTCGAGAGAGAGAGAGAGAGAGAGAGAGAGAGAGGGAGAGCGGAGGGGGAGGGGGAGAGAGGTAGGTCACACAGTAGTTGATTTATAAAAGTGATGACACGATTTCGCGTCATCAACGTGACGTTTAAATCGAATGCCTAAACGTCTATAGGCACGAATTCGGTTTATCGCTCTCTGCGCATCGCGGACAGCACAGCTACATAGGCACACTCACCTGCGTTCTTGTACGAGTAAAATTTGAAGATACTCGTTCTCCGACCGATCTCGGACTGTTCCATCTCCAACGACGTTGGAACCGAATCCTCGAGGGAATTCAATCCTTCCGGCGTGCCCCGCTCGCTCGCGATCGCCGTATCCTCTGTATCTTCGTTTGTGTCCTCTTCCGCATTTCCGTTTGCGTCCTCCATGAATCACCGTGAATTCTTTTTTCTCTTTCGGCGTGTCAGCGTGATAACGATAACTCGCAAGTCAAAGATGCGATATTCACCAAACAGAGTTTCTCTCTCTCTCTCTCTCTCTCTCTCTCTCTCTCTCTCTCGTCGTTATTGTTACCGTTGCAATAACTTTACGATTGAATGACGTCGTTCTCAAGAACGATCTCGTTTCCTACAATCGTGAGAAAACAAACGACTGCATGTACTCGAACTAACTCGAACGTTACGTACATCTAAGCGCGCCGTGCTTGTTCGCCAGAATGCAAAGAAATTTATCGGCAACTTGCCCAGGATACCTCCGTCTCCTGGCTCCCTCTCGCTTTTTCTCCCCCCTCCCCCTCCCGCACCTCGCCCTACGTACTCGTACCGATTGTGAGTCTCGTTTCGTGGTCACAGTCACAAGTCTCGAAGTAGCCGTATACAATCTGATCTCGAGTATCTCTTGATTCTCGTGCAGGCTGGTCAACGTTCACATTTTGACCACGTGACACGTAAAGAAGAAAAACCCACCAAATAACGCTTTCATGTCCATTTCTACTAATAAATTTATTATGAGTGCGTTCCGAATTACGCACAAAGCGCATGATATAGCTGGTTGAAGTTTGGAACGTTCTTGGAGCGATCTTTTCAAAACGGCTTGGTCCATTTCTTCTTTTGCACAGAGCTTTTGCATGATACGCATCATTCGTCCTTGTTGATCACCGAAAAATAAAGAAAAATAAAATGACACCACATGCGCTTCATGCGTAATTCGAAACGCACTTATAATTAATCTCTTTAATATCGATTTGATTTACTCTTTATTCTTTTCTAATTCTTAGAAATTCTAAAAAAAGGTAAAAAGTAAGTTAAACCAAGATTATAAAGTGAATCTATGTATATTAGTAAAAAGGGACAATCACACATTTTCTCTCCAAGAAGAAAGCAACGCCATGTTTTAGAGAAGGGATTTTAAAAAATGGATCGTGATTAGGGTTACCATTGCATACCTGAATCACAAGAAAAGTAGGGGAGAGTGGTCTAAATCGGATCTATTTGCAGTTTTTGCTCTCTATAAAGCGTAAATAAAGTCCGATCGTAAAATCGAAGAATGCCATTGGAAAGATCATTTAATTCCCTTCATTTTTGCTTCAGACCATTTTGACGTACCTGTGTTGAACTACAATGGAAAATGTAAAAACGCTTTTTCCAGTCCGGTTTGGAACCATTGGTTCCAAATCGGACCATCCCCTGGTTCAAAATCAAAAACTCCTATTTTTATGGATTTTTAAATAGAATTTTAATGTATTTTTCTTAGTATTGAGTAAAAACGAGGAATTTGACAGTCAAAGATAAAAATTTTTTCAGAAAAAGAAATTATTGACCGTTTATATTATTAGAATTGAAATCAATAAAACTCAACTAATCTGAGTCCGACGACTCATGATATTTTACTGATTTAATTGCTTGGACCAGATCTGATCAGCCGATCACCAGTACTACATACAACTAGGCCTATATAAGTTATCCACTGTACTGCCCGATTTGGACACGGGTCCTTTCAACACGGGTGAGGTACCTTTGACCAATTTTGACATTTTCTCTTGTGCAAGTTGTATTTTGATGTCTAAAAATTCAAACAAATTCTAAAATATTCTTTCAAGTGTTGACACAAACATGCATTTTTTATAGATTTAAATTGTTATCTTTTGTACATCTTTTTTAACATTAGAAAAAAATTGAATTTTGGTCAAAGGTACTCTTACTACGAACTACATATTTTTACTTTTTTTTTTACAAATATCCAATAGATTTTTTATAAATACAAATGGTTAAAGGTACAACCGGTCAAAGGAACACCACATGTTCCCCTATTCTTAAAAAAATACGGCTGGTAATATCCTCTAAGTCGCAACCCATTGGGTCACAGGCTGGTTTTTAGTCGCAATTTAATTTTCAGAATTTATAAATTATTTAATTACACTTGGTTACTTTACGTAGCTGTACAAGCTTGCGTATACGCGCCACGACTTCGTATGTGTACGAAATTGGATTTTCAACGATGGTAAGAATCAAAATTAAATTTCGAAATAAATTATAATTATCGAATTTTTTACGCCTAAAAATGATTCGCGCGTCGATGTCGATGTCAAAGCTGTCATTAACAAAAATAAGAAATAAGCGCATTCTTTACACACACATATATCTCATTATATATTTGAGAAATAGTTTTAGAAAATTGCATTCAATATAAACTTAAAAAGTAGGAATAAATTTATATAAATAAATAATAAATGTGTGTAACTCTCTTTCTCTGCTTTTTCATTAACTGCTTTTTTATTAACTAGATGGATCACGGATGTTTGCCATTTTAAGAAATAGCTCACGACCCACGAGGTGGAGTTTTGGAAACATGCCTTAGAGATTGCGTGTCGATTTCCGTTTGCTTGCATTCGCGTATATCCAATTTATGCGAATCAACCTAAATTTACACAGAAATTATAAATATAGGGACACAAAATTTTGTTCTTTTTAATTAAAAAACAATATACGCACAATTCATTTGGTCGCATAAAAAACGCATAAATATATACTTTTACAAAAAAAAAAAAAAAAAAAAAAAAAGATCGTAAAACTTTTTACGAAAAATATGATCATAAAATTATCATCTTTGAATGTGACGTTAAAAGAATAGAATTTTGAAATTTTTTGCAAAATAGATAGTCGATCTTCGCTTCCTCAGTTCATTTTCTTTAGTGACACAAACAAGCAATACCGACCCGATTTTTTTTTTGTGGTTTTAAACCTGTACGCACGTGGTTTTCGAACTGAACGTGAGTACTGGAGACATATGATGCTGAACAGAGACATCGTATAAAGCGAAGAGAGAGGCCGCATATATGCGTTCGTAGTTTTACCTGAGAAGCATCAGACTACCCGAGAGCGTTCTCTACGATCCGGTCTTATATACGAACTGCATCATACCCGAGTGCTTGTGAGAAACACCATATTGACAGATACACCCTCTCGACTCAACTTCGGTCCCCGAAATCTTTAAGATTGAACTCAGCAATGAATTCTAAATTACAACTGTCGTCCATATTTATATATATATAGTTATTGGAATCGTTTTAACATAATTTTTATAATTATTTAACTGAATATTCGCTGTAGAGTACAAGGTGATGACCGCCTAGCGGCTGAAACCCTAAACTAAAATGCATCACGCAATGTGCATCCAACGGTGGCGTTGCATGCCTTTCGTGGCGCGGACGTTCAAAACTGCGCGCGAATAAGACCCTTCGCTCTGATCGAGATCTCGACACAAAAATTGGAGAGGTTCAAGTTCAAGAAATTAACGAATACATAGGAAAAAAAGGATGCAAATTAAACTGACAATGTGAGAATATTAAACGTTATCACGTTTGTCTTGTCTTCATCTTTTATGTTATATAGACATATATGATATATGAATAAATAAGCGCAACACATAACCAAAATTCGTAAAGTCTATTACAATATTCATTATCTATTACATATATCATTGTCTATTAGAATATCTACAATAGTCGTAAGCGTAGTTGTAAGCAAAGACATAGAGAATGGACTGCGCGATTAAGTAGTGTATCGACAAGTGTGGTCGACAATAATGAGAGAGAGGGACCGTGGAAGACGGCCAATCTCCCTCTCATTCTCTCTCCCATTATTACCGTTGAATGAAAAGAGATACAGACAGGCCGTCTTCCATCGTCCCTCTCTCTTCAAGTCGAATAGTAAGTAAGGAGAATATTTGATTGTGATTGGTCAATTCTTACAACTACAATCACTTGTCAGCTGCGCTTACGACTGTTGACCCGAACAGGCATATAGACGCCAATTCTCTACAAGTCTGAAGTGCACTTCTTTATCTACGCACGGATTTTTTAAATTTCAAATAATATGCGGCAAGGAGTTGAAGGAATACAAAGTGTAAGGTACAAAGGGCGTTACTTTCTGACAAACTGTCGACTTTGAACTTTGAACTTTTGCATCAATCGGCTAAATGAAAACGTACAATTCGTTAGAATTCGAATTTAACATCAGAGATTATTATCATAGTTACTAGCAACTTTTTTTCAAGATTCGTATAGCATTTATAAATTTTTTATCAAGCAACAATTGGTCGGTCGCACCTATCCATCCATTAAAAAAAGGGTGAAAAATGTCTGCAGCAAAAAAGTTACAGAATTTGATATAGGATCTGGCATAATAAGATTCACTGCTTTCCATTTGACGACACAAATCGACACAAGCGTCGTTCTATCCTTCTTGACATTCAGAGAGTGACAAAGATAGAACGATACGACTTGTGTCGACTGTGTCTCTTTTAAAAGGAAAGCAGCCGGTATGTACTGGAATTCATTCGGAATGGATTCCAATTAGAATTATTCCATTATTCCCTAGATTTCTATTGTTTTCTAGGAAAAATGGAATAATTCTGACCGCAATTCATTCTGAATAATTCCATAATACGTAAGTATGTATGTACAAAGGTCAGGATACCTATTATTCCATTATTCCCTAGATTTCTATTGTTTTCTAGGGAAAACGGAATAATTCCGATCGAAATTCGTTCCGACATGTTCCATGATAGGTACCCTGACCAACTATTCTTTATACTTTTTATAGAATGAAACTTCCTATTTCGCCAAACTTCAAATATGTATACTATGTATGTCTATTTCACTTTAAGTAAGAGATACACTAGATCATCTATAAAAAATTGTACAATGTTGTTAACAAGATGCTGGCAGAAATATAGTAAAGTTTGTCAACAAAATACGATAGTAGGTTGGCAAGAAATCAAACGGACTTCGATATATATTTGCTGCACAATTAACGTATATTGGCGGTAGGTATACGTAGAGCGCAACAAATGTGCGTTTGATATATAATATTCTGCTCGCTAGGCGGATAGATTTCTATCGCCGGTACACTGTCAGATTAGACTCTGTCGGCAAAACATAAGATAATGTAAATATCAACACAGTTGACTAATTTGCCAACAATTTCTGATCAAATTTGCTATCGATCTGTTGACACACCGCGGGGGCTATTTGACATGAAGATTCCACCATGCAAAGAAAATATTACGCATCGTTTATTTATCGATGTGTTCTTTTAATTAAAATAAGGATAAATAAATAAATAAACAAAAACAAAATATTAATCTCAAAGGTATATTCTGTGAGAAATACAGACGCACTTTATTAGTGCAAATGGCAATTGATTGATCCCTTCAAATCTAATTTTATTGAAATGTTAAAAAAAATTTTTTTTTTAATTCAATTCAAGGGCACTTTAATTAATAGTAATTCATACTAAACAATTAACTTTTCCAACATTTTGACTATTTTTCCAACATATACATTACTACATAGGTATGTACCTGCCCGTCAATGATTCGCAGGGTCGTGCAGTAGCTCTGACTTATCGGCTTGATTTACTCACAGATGTACTCGTCGATAACGCGCACAAAAACGCACGGAAAGGGAAACATTATAGCAGTACCCAAATAAAAATAACGAAGCGTTCGATACTCGCACAAAAAACACCACTATTACGGTACTATTACGGTACTACCACGAGATGGCGATGTACGGCGTAACTGATGTACGGTAATAGTACAAAAAAAAAAGTATATGAATATAGAATAATAAGAAAAACAATATTCTCATTATTCTATATTCATACTGCTAATGCGTAATGCTTTCCGTGCGTTTTCCGAAGTGCGCGCGTTATCGTCCCTGCGAGTAAATCAAGCCGATAAGTCAGGGCTACTGCACAACCCTGCGAATCATTGACGGACATGTATGTACATACATACATCTGATCTCAGATGATATCAATAGAATTAAATAATTTTAACGATGTCTTCAAATTTGTTGTATATCATAATTAGGCCAACCAAAATATGTATGGGGCATATTTTTTTTATTTGATTAATAAAGAAATAAACTAAATACAAATTTGTGTCATAAGAAATTATGCATTTTGAGCCCTATATGTTACAGCATATTTTTGCATATTTCGCCCACACATGCACAATATTTACATATTTTATCTATTTTTATTGTATATTTCACATCGTTTTCTAATTTAAGTTTATGATTAGTTTTTTTCTGATCTAATAATAAATAGGATTTCTAAGATAAGTTTTTCTCAATCAGAAGTATGCTACAACATATTTTATATTTTTGAAAAAGGAATCGATTAGATAAATGATTCCCACACGCCGCGATGCATTGGTGCGCAGTGATGTTAGAGAAATCACAAGGAGAAAAAGATTTCGCGCTTTTGCGTTCAATCTTTTATATTTCTGTATCATACAATACATAACATAACATCAAAGGCTCTCTCTCTCTCTCTCTCTCTCTCTCTCTCGTCACTGTAATAAATAATATGTATTTGTTTAATTTTAATGCCTCGTAAGACTAATTAATTTTTTAAAAATGTAAACAAACAAATTTTATCAAATTCATTTTATTTTGTTGTTATAAGTAAAAAAAAAACTTAATTAATAGTTGGAAAATTTGTGCGATAAAAAATAATTTTTAAATGCATATATTCCTTTCTTTAGAGCATTTTTTTCAATTTCACAGAGCGTATTTTAGGCGCTCAAAAAGGGATTTTTACAGCATAATTTTGGTTGCCCTAATCATAATGTACACAGAATCAGAAGGATAATATCATAATTCACTTGGTTTTTTCTTTTCAAATATTAACGGGACAATTCTCTTTCGTTATAAACAAAGTCAGAAAAGAACAGAAAATCGAAACAGATTAACCACAGTCAACTAACGCTCATGAAACCGGTTAAGCCGGCGGCACACGATGCTTGTTTTCTTGCTGGATTGCTAGCTAGAATAAATTCTTACCACCGTATTGGCTGCGATGCTGAAACTATCAGTACCGCGGCCAATACGATGGTAAGATTCTAATCCAGCTAGGAATCCAGCAGGAAAACAAGCATCGCGTGTGCGGCAGGCTTTAGCGGGAATTCCCGGAATTTTCTTTTATTGGCTCTGATTATAGGCATCATACATTTGTTTGATTTTCTTTTATCTCACAACAAACACAGGTAGAGGATTTCAAAAAAGAATCACAATCTAAAATCACACTCGCGATACGTCGAGAGAAACATAACAGAATCATCATTTCGAAAAAAATCTCGTGGAGAGATAGTGCAGCAAGTGCTATAATTAAGGCATGCCTGGGAATTGATAATGTATCGAAATGTATCTTGAAATGATACGAAAATTATAAAAGTGAACCCATTCAGTAGAATATTTAAAATTTTATTGATCAACATCTAGTAAATTTATTCACTTTTATCATTTTCATCTCGTTTTAAGATACACAATTGACGAATTGACGGCCTCTGGCCCTGTGGTCGCGAGCCACGTGGAATTACCACGTGGAAGTTTTATTACGTCACTCCCGAGCGAAGCTCACTGCGCCGCGCCGCGCCGGTGCAATCACGTGGAGGGACTTCCGAGAGTTCCGAGTTGCTCCGAGCAGAGTGGAGCAGAGCGACGAAGACAACGGAGAGGCGCGAGAAACGATCGAAGGAGAGAAAGGGGCAAGAAGAGCCAAGGGGTGTCAAGGTGAGGGTTACTCACTGCTGCAGGTGCCGCGGTCGAATTGCAAACCGTCAATGCTCCATCGAAATCGCCCTCGCAACAAGAGCGATTGCACGGCCGGTCGAACCCCCCCCCCCCCCCGGACGATACGCGCTCGCACATACGACGCTCGGACGAGCGTCGTTTACCGATCAACGACAATAAAAACACGCAACACGCACAACCACACACGCGAGCGAGAAATCGATCAACGAACATGCGACGACCAAAGATCACGTCAACCGATTACCACTACTGCGCGCTGTCATTCGCACACCTTTCTGCCCTCCTTGCGGGCTCGCCAGGGCTCGCCAGGGCTCGCCAGGGCTCGCGCTTGCAGACACTCGCGGAGTCGCGGCTCACAGCGAGTCACAGCTCACAGCCGCCGTTTACCTTCGTGTCGTCTGCTGGGTGCGATTGCGCGCGCACCACTCCTCCGCATGTACGTGACACGCATGCGTGCTAGCAGAGAGAAGCCACGCATGTTCAGATTCCCACCCGAGTGCCACCCACGGCTATCCCTCTATCCTAAGGCGCTAGATATGTAGCTATTCTCTAGAGACGGTATAATAAGAGACTGGCATAAGTTCTAGTTGGGTAGAAAATGGCGTTCTCTCTCACAGGACGATAACTCGTAGGACGCGTTCGCAACTAGGACGGGAAAGCAGAAAAAGTAGGAAAGCAGAAGCCAATCAGAATTCTATTCCATGTACATACGTACTGTCATCTATTACCAGCACGACTTTTGATTGGCTTCTGCCATTCCATACTCAGCCAATCAAAAATTAGCCCATCTATGCGGTCGTAGTACCGCGTAGTACCGAATGCACATGCAGTGACATGCACCCATTTGCTTGGCGAGCAGTTTTTGGCCGTATCGACCTCCTTTTTATATGCCTGGAGGCGGGAGCCATTAATTAAGAAGAAGAAGCTTGGCGAGCAGGCTTCTGTTTGTCAACTTGAACGCACCCTGGGAGCGCATGCTCGCATTGCAGTATTTCGCGGATGTGATAGATTTCCTAACCCGAATAGTTGTCAACGACTCGTTTAATATTGTTTAATGTCACAGTTTGCGGGACAGAGTAGCAGAGTGATGCTTTTCGCTACCACATTCATCCATTTCGGAGAAAAACGCATCGAATGAGCATAATTTCATCGATTTTTGAGATGACTATACGTAACTATACTGAATAGTTACCCTGAAAAAGAAGGAGTGTTTATTACAATAAATAGTAAAATTTGGGACCAGTATGGTACGCTGTATTGTAAGATCTTGCCCGAATAGGACGGATAAATGCTGTAAGACTGAAGTGAGCTTCTTCGGTTTACCAAAAAGTCATATAATTCGCGAAAGCTGGCTTCAGAAAATCGGGAACGTTAGCTTTCAAGTACTTTCAAGAATTAAAAATGGTAAATAGTTTTATAAAAAAAAGATTATAAAAGATATAATGTTTTACTTTAATTAAAATATTCTGTTTGTAGTAATTTAATAATTTAATAATTAATACCCTCCCCCCCCCCCCCCACACCCCCCACAGCACGAAATATCGCACCAAATTGGATATTTTGTAACATTACAAAAAATTGTAGCAATATTACTGCAATATTTAAATTTAAATATTCGAAATATTACAACAATATTGTGAAATATTGTAATTTTATTACTTTATAGGAAATATTGTAATATATTGCTGCAATATTATATTTCAAGAGATAAGTATGCGGCTCCGTATGTCCACGAGATGGTTGCGCTTCTCGTAAGAAGAAAACATCCAGGAGGTGTAAAGATATAAGAAAGCGTACGCAAAACAAGTTGGCGAGTCTCCTGGAGATTCCCAACTCTTTTGGAGTGTGCCTTCTACACCCCCGAATGTTTTTTGATCACAATTGTATTGTATGTATTTTTGAAGGTACAGATGCTAAGCAGTAATATGTTAGCAATTAATAAAACTGTTAATTGTTGAAATATTGCAGAATATTGTAACAATATTTTATTTTTGCGGACATATGGATATTGCTACGATGTTTTATGAAATATTTCAGTCTTTCAAAATAATATTGCTGCAATATCGTTACGATATTTCGTGCTGTAGCGGTAATACCTAAAATATTTTAAATGTTGGAAATTAAAAGAAAAGAAAACATAATTGTGTTCTCTTAATTTGAATCAATGAATACTCCCTATCTCAGTTTTCACGTTAACCACCTATTAATGTCATTTGAATCATTTTTAGCAAAGATATGTTCAGCTCACTTCACTCAAGAGTCATTCCATGTAGGAAGGAAACAGAAGATCGGAAAATGTATAAATCCGAGACGACTCCTTTCACCAAATGCATTTCCTACAAAAATGTTATCTTCAACGGAAAATAGGTAAATCTATCAATAAATTAAATTTAGACAGTCAAGAGACAAGCAAAATTACATTTTTAAATAATTTAATAATTCAATAAGATAGTATACATAATATATTTTGACTTGGAATCTTCATCAATTTACACATTTAAAAGAAGCATATAAAGCAATAAAACGTCAAGAGTCATCCTTGAGATTCGTTAATAATAAGAAGTCAAATAATAGGAGCTTTCCAACAAGAGACAGTGAATCATTACATAATCCTTGTTGTTCGCCAATGTTAAACAAAACATGAAACGTGATGAAACGATCACTGTCCCTAGCGAAAAAGTTTTACGAAAAACTATATAGATTGAAACAAGATCTTAGAAATTATTAGTTTTTCATAGACGTGTTCGTAGTGGGGCGTAGAGCAATGTTGTTTCTTTGAAAAACCTAGAAATCCTGAGTCCTTAAACAACGCCACTCTACATCTCACTAGCAATATCTACGAAAAACTAAGAATCTCTAAGACAAACAAACCTCACTGTACGTCCCACTACGAAAATGTACGAAAAATTTCTAAGATTTTCTAAGATTTTGTCTCAAATCTATGTAGTTTTTCTATACTTTTTTGTAAAAAATTTTTTCTGCCAGGGGCGTTACACAGTATCACTTGTTGGAACAGCTTCCAATATGAACTAGATACTTTTAACTTTTATTCTCGATGTCTTGTTTCATGACGTTATTACTTGATAAAATTTCATCTCATTGCACTGTCTATTTTACACATTGGACACTTTTACCGTGATTCTCGCCGTTCAATTTGTTATCATATTTGAATTTATTATCATAAGAATTTTACATCTTGACGATTTAATGCTTACATTTATCGGTAGACATGAATGATTACGTTTCTATAATTATCATATTAGAATTCGACAAAATTGTTTGTTTAGTTATTGGCCTCTCAAATGTCTCATTTTACAATTGAAGTTTATATTTAATCTGTCAGACTACATATGTTATTTTATTAATTATATGCTTTTTTGAAATTTGTAAACTGAATTGAACTCACTTTGTGAGTCAAAATATATTATGTATACTATCTTATTAGATTATTAAATATATTTTAATTATTTTAACTCTCAAGTACTGAGGTTGGTCCGTAAGACCACTGGAAAAGAAACAGAGTCTCATTTTCAATACTTTCATAAAAAGAGTAATTTATAACGGTTTAATTAATAAAATATAGAGTTATAAAACTCCTGTGTTTTTTTTTTTTATCAATATCCTTCAAGGACCAAATCAGTAAAAGTGTCAATATTTTTTACCTCAGTATTTAAGGGTTAACATGCAATTTTGCTCGTCTCTTGGTTGTTTAAATTTAAATTTTTATTGCTTTGCAAAATAACGAGCATTACTCTATTTTTATATATCAAGAAATGATGTTAAGTACTATGTTTTATTCTTTGTATTTATTTACATTTTGAATAATAAGAGTTAATGATTCTTTTATTTTTCAGAACTGATCCTATCAATATGAATTTTAAAGTTATTCGTAGAGAATTCCTGCTTCCTGCTAACGCCCATAGAAACACAGATGAAGGATCAACCAGTAATGAGATACTTCTCAGCACTTCTCGGATCTTTGATGCTGATGGCTCGTCAACAACATTGGATAATGAATCGAAATCAACCAAAATAAACAGTTGTATAGCACAATGTGGAATCGTTTCAGATTCATTACGTCTACAAAATGCCAATCCTGATCCAATCAGCGTATCAGACACTGTTGAGAATATCGAAACACCTAAAAGTCAAAGGTAAGAATCATAACATGATGCTAATGTTTGAAAAGAATATTAAATTAATATGGACAACAGATAGTAACGTCTTTTCATGTTTTTGTAGAATATCGGGGGTGGATAAAAAGAGAGTTTTTGAAATACCACAAAGTATATTTGATGCGTCCGACAATGTATGTCATAACACATTTCCAAGAAGGTACGTTTATAATTTCTAATTGTGGTCAATTCTTTGTTATGTTGCATTGAATAGCTATTCAAAATTTCTAAGAATTCTTAATTATTCATATTTTTTTACAGATCACAAAGAATAAAGCATTTGCGTAGTCGTGGCAGTAGTGTGAGCTCGGTTTATGCAAAAATGAAGAAACAACAGGTTAAAGCTTCTGGATTAAAACATTTAAAAATGCCTTTGAAAAGAGTATCGAGAGAATACCACAGTGAGGAGAGCACTTCTTTATGCATTCGTAAACAACGGTACGCTTATTGATCTTTCATGTATACTCTAATACAAAAAATGTCTGGCAATTGTCAAAATGTTTTAAATTGTAGTAACAAGACACCAATATTTTAATTTTTGGTGATACAACACCGCTTAATGTATTAATTTTTAGTGACATTTGAAAAAGGTTTTTTGTTAGAACAGATACACTGTACATGTTTCAATGTTTTTAATAAATTGCATTCTTTCAGATTTATGAAAAATAGCAGTAACATTACTGATAGCATTACTCATAAATCACAAAATGAAAAGCCATACACATCAACGAAGTTGCCAAAAGCTGAATTAGAACATCATCGATCTCTCAATGAGTTTCATTTACAATCCGGATGTAATTATTTGGATGAAATGAAAGAAATTGAAAAAGAGTATCAAAATTTACGATTGCAATTAGTACAAAAAAATGAAGATATTCAAAATTTAATAAAAGATAAAGAACGAATGCAATTAATGATTAATGATCTTCAGGCGAAACTGGTGGTAGCTGATCTCGACAAGTGTAACTTAGAAAAGACAGCTTAGAACAAAATAATACAAATATTACAACGTTACTTCACAGAAGGACAAATAAGATGCATCCTAGAAAATCGAAAATGGATTCGGTGGTCGACTATATAATATAAAAAATTTTCATATCAATTTTTATATCAAATAAAAAAAATTTTTCTTCATAACATTGAAGTATTTACAAAAAGATTGCAGATTCTTTCTACTATAATATTTCATCAATCTTTCAACATGGTTTCATGTGTAAGAATCGCGGACATTTGCTATTTCAGAACTGTCTCAGAAATGTTGCAGACCACAGTTCACAACTTTTATGAAACGTTTCACTTTTCATTTGAAATATTTCTGAGATATTTCTGAAAACTTTCGGTGCTGTATGGGATGGATGAACTTCTGAAAATGTCAAACGCCCGATTTTCATGAATTTAGGCAGAAACACTAAAGGCCCTTAGGCCCAGTTTCATGGTTAACCCTTAACCGAGGTTTAACTTATTCCTCGTCTCTTTCTAATGTTAGAATTGGAAAGAGATGAGAAATAAGTTAAACCTCGGTTGAGAGTTAACCATGATTCGTGAAACTGGGCCTAAGGGTCGATTGTTCCATCTTTTGGTAAAGTTCACCTATTAAGGTAAATCTGGCAATCCGCGCACGTGATTGGATAATTTTGCTACTCTTACCTAACAGGAAAACTTTACCAAGAAGTTGGAACAATCGGCTCTAAATCACTAGGCATAACTCTAACTTAAAAGCAGTGGCGAATTTTAATATACGATCCAAAACGAACCAGGCGTTTACAGCACGCTGAGATTCTTTGATACCATTTGATACGCGTATCAGCTTGGTCTGATACTCGTGATTCAGAAGTATCAGACCAAAATAATCCATCAGCGTTTATAATAACAATAAGCGTATCAAGTGATTTGGTTAACTTAATTCCAATACTATGTTTTTATATTAGTAATCATCTGTAAACACTTGAAATTTGCGCGTATAAAATGGGCCCCCCGTGATTAGTTGACAAGTCATGTTCCCCCCCCCCCCCAAAAAGCCGCCATTATGCGCAATGGCTAACCTTACTTTTTTCCATCATGGGATCGAACCAGATCGAACATCCCTACGACCCTTAACAGAGAGAATTGGCTGAATTGGCAAACGGTGTATTTAAAGCAGAAGATATTCTAGTTTCTAGTCAGGAAATCCAACGAAATAGTCGGTAAAATGGATGAAGCTAAATTTCTGAAAAGGTGAGAAGAAGCACCATCTCCTCTGTATTTGTCAAAGGATGTCTGTTGGCTGTCAAATATGTCACGTATGATTCTCGTACGAGTGAAATGCATTATTCATAAAATATTCAAGTTATAAATGTCTTATTAAATTATAATGTAGCAAACTTAGGGTGCACGTCTCGTTTTTCGCTTAGGCTGATATTACATTTGTCGTATGACAAATTTTCAAGAATAATTGGTTGCAGGACAAATTGAGCCTTGAGAACGCCCTACAGTCTTTGTCCTACAGTCAACAGGCTTGAAAAGCTTATCATACGACCAAAAACGAATGAATGTAATATTAACCTTACAATATAATCTGTCATAAAGCATCATTTATTCCTGTTTAATTCGGTGTCACGGAGGGTGGGGCATAATGACTACACTGAGAGACCTATTTTGCGATCTGAGTAGCGATCATATAACTATCTTTAAAGTGGAAACGTGAAAAGTGAAAAGTTTTTTATGTATGTACATACATGTACATATATAATATATAAAAAAATTTTCGTTTTTCACATTCAGTCCAAGGGAAAAAGTTACATAATTGCTATCATCGTGATCTATATTTTAGGTGGGTTCATAAAAAAAAAAAAAAAAAAAAAATGTGAGATAAAAAATGACAAAAATGATAGAAAAGAAGATAGGTCATCTACTAACTGTTTACATCAAGGAGTCTAAATAATTGAAAGTCGAATTTGAAGTATATAGTATGCCGCAGCGTAAATGCATGGACCCCTTTTACACCATTAAATCGGTTAGTACGCATATCAAATTGATGCGGATTAATTATTTGATACGTCCTTACCTCTAATTCTAACTTTAACCTGAACTTAAAAGCAGTGGCGAATTTTAATATATATACGATCCAAAACGAACCAAGCGTTTACAGCACCCTGAGATTCTTTGATACCATTTGATATGCGTACCAGCTTGGTTTGATACTCGTGATTCAGAAGTATCTGATCAAAATAATCCGCCAGCGTTTAAGTATACCAAGCGTATCAAATGATTTGTAGTGATTTGGTGCGAATGTGGTACTTAATACGCGTATCAAGTGCTCGGTCACGTAAACTGGACCATGGTCTACATTCGTTTACGCAGCGGTTAGCACAGAGAGAGTATCATTTAATCCTTGTTTAACACTCGATGAACAACAAGATAAAATAATACTTCTGCGCTAGGTAGACGAATGCACTCGTGTAAATGTAGCCAATGACCCAAGATGTCATTAAACACCGGTAATTATTTGCATTATTTAGAATACCCCCCCCCCCCCTCTCTCTCCTGCTCCTCACCTTCAATTTTAATAAAAATATACTCATTCGACGCGTTTTCACTCAAAACGAAAAAATCTGGCAAAAAAACGCGGCGGTCGATCTCGTGAATCGAGTTGTTAAGCGTTGAAGTTGGAGACTTTAGAGGTTAAGATATATTAAGATATGTTAAGATATGTCTGTCATCCCAACTCAATATAACCCTACGTATACGTTCTGTTTTAATTATACAAATTCACTGCTTTAAAAACCAATTTATCTGCTTCACAAACACAAATTCATAATGAATTTGAAGAGACTTTTGTCCTTTTAAAGCAGTGAATTTGTGTAATTAAAGCTGAACGTGTATATAGCGCTGTGTTGAGTCGGGACGACAGATATCTTAACCTCTAAAGTCTCCAACTTTAACGCTTAATAACTCGATTTACGAGGCCGATCGCCCCGTTTTTCTGCGAGATTCTTTCGTTTTGAGTGAAAACGCGTCGAATGAATATATTTTTATTAAGATTTTAGATTTTAGGAGAGAGAGAGAGAGAGAGAGAGAGAGAGAGAGAGAGAGAGAGAGAGAGAGAGAGGGGTATTCTAAATAATTACCTAACAATAATTACCTATATTTTGTACTTGCTGGTTTTAACTATCCGCACGGTATATATATATATATATATAGCTGGAGTATACTTAGTAGTTTATTTTATTAGACTATTAGACTATAAAAAAAACTATTGTTCCATAAAAGCTATTAGCTTTCTAAAACCATAGATGATGTTACAAGAGTAGACAAAAAAATGTTCGGGTCATTATGACATCACCTCAATGTCCGTGTAATGGGCTTTCTCTCTCTATGATAAGGGTCTCAGCAGAAAGCTGAGACTATAATTTTAAGACAGTGTGTTACGATTAGGGCAACCAAAATTATGCTGTAAAAATACTCTAAAGAAAGGTACATATCCCAAAAAATTATGCTGTAAAAATCCCTTTTTAAGCGCCTAAAATATGCTCTGTGAAATTAAAAAAATGCTCTAAAGAAAGGAATATATACATTTGAAAATTACTTTTTATCGCACAAATTTTCAAATTGTTAATTAAATTTTTCACTTATAACAACGTAGTCATAAACTTAAATTAGAAAACGGTGTGAAATATGCATATAAAAGTAGATAAAATATGTAAATATTGCAAAAATATGCTCTTATAAGGATTCTTAATAAGGACAAAGAAATTTTAGCTCCTTTCGTATCGATTGGTCAAATTTGAGAATTTTTCAATCTTCAATCTCAATCTTCAATGTATAGTCTGATTCCGACTTTACGGCTATTGTAGAACGGGCATAATATTTTAGCACAATGATGTCAGGTGAATATTTGATAGACAACAAGGATGGGAAAAAACTGCTTACAGTGTGTGAGCATGAAAACAGAACGCGTACAATTCTAATATTGATATTTAGGAAGGTAAGATCTGGGACATTGGATGTCCATCCAACAGAGAAGGCTCTGGTAGTAAATTATGATGTCGAGGCGTTGATATTGGGGGAACTGGGAGATCCTATGCTCGGCGATCGCAAAGTACGTTTTCTTAAACATAAATAAATAACTGACTTGCAAGACCTAGGCAATTGTATGTTTGTCATTGTATATAGGAATGTCAAAAGGTAATCAGATTGAAGAGCTTAAACGCCGACACAAATGTTTCTCTCTTAGCCAAGGAGGTAATAGAAAAGTGCACATTGATACACGAATCTAAGCTGCGTGAAGTCGAACAGTTGATTTACTATCTACAAAATCGTCGAAACAATGATACCAGTACAGGTAATGTAATACCTGATTTTTATGTTTGCTGTTTTTATGTTAGAGACTCTAGAAGTTTAATAAATTTACAATTGTCTTAGGTAGTGACAGTAATTCTCAGCCGCCAAGACCGGCATCGTCGAATTCACTGATCACAGAGAATAGCGAAGTTGAACGCGCAGTCATTAGTAACGTCGACAGTTATATTGAATTATTATACGAAGAAATACCAGGCAAAATTAAAGGTTCATCATTAATTTTACAATTAGCGAGGGTACCCGATAATCTTTTGGAATTGACAAAAAATGGTAATCTTTGTGTTACATATTTTTTTCTAGAAATAATTTTAGATAACAATTTTAATTTGATTCATAATAGTGATAAGAAAAGTTATGTATCATTGAAAATATTCGTGATTAATCATAATATATGAGATTAGCTTTTTGTTCATACAGAATCATTATTAAGTGCATTAGCTCGAGTTCTGAGAGAAGATTGGCGGCGCAGCATAGAACTGTCCACGAATATCATTTATATCTTCTTTTGCTTCTCAACGTATAGTCAGTTTCATAACATTGTGCTCGAATACAGAGTAAGTTGCGAACGTTGATAAAACTTGGAAGGATTAGACAATCTTTGGTACTATATTCACATTTTTTTCTCTCGTGTATAGATCGGTTCTCTTTGTATGGATATAATTGATTCTGAGTTACGTCGTTACGACCAGTGGAAGGAGGACATGGAGAAACGTCGGAAACAATTTGAA